TTTTTAATAAATATTTATTAAAATGACATAATTTTAGAGAATTTTTTCTCTTAATTTTTTCCAATATATGCTAAGATCTACTCTACTCTTTTCTTTTTTTTTGTTAAATTTTATCTAACCAGATAGCAACTGATTTTTCCTTTCTTTATTTAATAATTACTTTCAACTTTTCCCTAACAACTAAACTATAAGCATAGAGTTGAATTCCAATTCCATCGTCTTTTTTTTTCTTTTCTTTTTTTGTTAAAATAAACTTAATAAAATTTTGCGGTTTGACGGTCCCACTTAGTCAATGGCCCTAGCAGCATCGCTATTCCCAGTTTCCCACCCCCTTCCCCCTTTTTTTAATGATATAAACAAGGTTTAATGCGGGAATGGTCCTTAAAATTTTTAATTTTAACCCCTTTGGTCCCTAAAATAAAGTGTACTAGTTTTTTTAAGTTAGGTTTAAAATTCAAGATTAAAATCTTAAAACTACCATGTAAAAATTTATTTTCTTAAATACATAAAACCAATATGAATATGCTTCTTTACTATCATAAAGAAAAAAAATTAATATTAAAGTACATGAAAATTGAGATAAATATATCCTAATAATAAATACCAATATAAAGTCATGTGGAAGTGGAAAGTTCATGTCTCAAAATTGATGATATAAATTTTTTTTGGATGTCTTGTTTAGTTTAATAGTCCTAGTTTAGGTGGGTATCTATGTCATCATCTTCTTTATAATTATAAAATTACTTTTATATTTAAATTTGAGATTAGTGAATATTCTGTATTATTAAAAATTAAGTGAAAAAATACTCAAAAAGTAAATCGTTTTAATAACGTTTAAATCTCCAATTTGGTCTTTGAATTATTGTATAGACCCTCGATTTGGTCCATGAACTACAAAAATTCCTGATTTGATCCTTAAATTATTGTACAGAACCCCAATTGATCTCTATTATTTACCAATTTACCCTAAGTTGGTCTTTCCATACAAAAAAATAACTGATGTGTCCATTATTTAACAACAAAAAATAGTAACCGAACAATGAAAAACAATAACTTAACAATCACGTGTCAAGTTAATAATAAGACAAGTTA